AAACCTTCAGAGAAACATACTAAATATATAGGTGCAGCACTAAAAGCATTAATATGTCCGTAAATGTATTAAAAATTATATGCCAAACAAAGTGACAGTCTGTGCAGGTCTACGTACGAATATGCAGTAGAATCCAATGATGGTGCTCCAAAACGTGTGGTAAATTTACGCATTCACCAGGTGCGTAAAGTAAATATGCATTAAATGACTCTGTAGAGGTCTCCTTTTGGAGTTGGATAAGATCCTAATCCTAGATAATCCTCCCTCTAGGAAAGGTGGTGCTATCAGGAGCTCACGGGCAGGTACAGGATCCAGCTAGCCAGAGATCCCTTTTAAGGGATGGGCGGGTTTAGAAGCCTGCTTTAAGGGACTCCCTTCTCTGGATGCTTAAGGATGGCTGGATCAGGTGGGCTCTACAATTAAATTGCTCCGCACAGATAGTGCTGTCAGGTCTGTAACCTGTCATTTAATTCCTTTATGAACGAGTGCTCCCCCTTGGATAGAAAAAGTGAACTAGAGATTGAACTCTTCATAGGATGTCATTGATTGTACATCACTAGGCAAACAAATAAATGTTTGTCAACTCCCAAAGGTTGGCTCCCTATTCACCTGATTCTTTCAGGACATTCACTAATTACTAAATTGTAACTTACTGTATATTAAACCATAAATATTTTTCCATGTGAAATACTGCAGACAAATATTTAATTTATTTAAAGTATAACTTTATTAACAATTTGTCTATAAATTAAGCCAACAGAACAATTTAAAAACAATATTAAAATGTAAAACCAGCCTATATTTTTTTTTCTTCGGGATAGCTTGGGGAAAATTAGAACCACTAAGGGCCTCTTTTATTTAACTATTGCATTTCTATAACACACATTGCTTTCATATTGTACGTTCATTCAGAATGGCACCCCAATGCACCTCGCTGATGTACATGTGTTGCAGCTCAGCACATCTTACAGCAGTGCACTAATGTGCATTGTGGTGCACTGCCAAAAAAAAGGTGCCTGCACATTTTTTGGTGATTTCCAAAGTGTTAGACAGTCCATTCACAACTAATGGGCTGCCATAATGCAATACACATTAACACACTACAACAGTGTGAATTGGCCCTAATAGGTTTTTCTGTTCTCTGTGGCAACAAGAAGGATACCAAAAATATCAAAAATGTTTACTTTTTAGTAGAGTAATACTGGCCATACATGGAGCAAAGTTCATCTGGTTCTGGCAGGGACAGCTGTCAAAATACAATAGCCACAGGAGGAGATTCAGCCATCAGTGCTGTGTAGCCTGGATGGATTAATGCTTTTGATTTTTTTCTGTTCAGCCTGGAGGCTGATTGGAAAATAATCTATGAGTGCATTGCCAGTTTTAGGGAAGGCTAGAGCTCCCATCAATTTATTTAATATCAGTAGGAAGTAAGGAATTCAGGGATAATCCCAATTGGAACACAGATAGCAAAAAAAAAAAAAAAAGCTGATGGGGCTCCAACCTTCCCTTACTCTACTAAAAATAAAATGTTTTTGTTTAAATGTCTGTATCCCTCTAGCCCTTTCCCATTTTATCCAAAACTAATAAAGCTGAAGATACACTTTTTTACAGTGCACATGGTACTCAGGAACTTCAGGGGCTGTCACAATGGACTTCTGATTAATCTTAGGGAAATACAATATTAAAATATACTTTTTATTCATAACACAAGCACTTACTGCATCCTTCTCCACAATGACACTATCCATAAACCTCACAAAGTCACTTTAAATTAAAAATCCAAACACAAAATTGTGCTGTAAATTTGCCACGTTAAAAGTGATCCACCTCTGTCTATGTTCTAAATCTAAAAAATAATATAAAATTATGTGCACGGTGGATGTGTTAGCTCTACATATAAAAATCTATTGCATTCATTGTCATTTCCTAAACCAGTAACCCCCCCCCCCCCCCAATAGTCACACACCCTATTAAAAGCATAATTTTACCCTTCAGAGTGTGTTATAAAAAAAGTCTCACTTAAATTTGTATCAATGTGTTCTGTTCAGGGAAGTAAGTACCAGGGGTGGACTGACAACTCATGGAGCCCCCGGGCAATAGGGGATCATGGGGCCCCTGTGTCCTTGCCCAAACTCAAAAAAGCCTATAAAAAAGGTACCAGGGGCATCTCATGGGGCTCCCTACTGACCCCGGGCCCTCAGGCAGTGCCCCAGTTTCCAAATGATCAGTCCGCCCCTGGTAAGTACACGTAGTGATTTGTCCCTTCTGCCTATGAGCATTCTTAGGCTAGCTGTGAGGTCATTCAGGTCCCTCCCACAGCTGTCTGATAACACAGCTAGCAAGGAGATGGCTGTTTTGACAGATGGCACCTTTCTCCTTCTGGGAAGGAGGGTGGGGGGAGGGGTGTCAGCCTCCATGCTCCAGGCTAGCTGGAAAGTGCTTGGAGTTAGAAAAAAGAACCATTAGTCAAAGCAGCTGTCTCCTTGCTAGCTGTGTTGTTGGATGGCTGTGGAAGGAGGAGGGGTGCCTTGTTCACACATGCTCAAAATACTGTTAAATACTTAACAAATGTGCCTATAGCATTTATGTGAGTTGTTCGTTGAGTTTGACATGAGTTAAAGGTGTGTTAAAAATGCTCCCCAAACGCCCTATGTATGTTTTACATGCTTTTAGTACGTGTTAAAGTTGTATTAAAAACACACCCCAAATACCTGTTTTGTTTTTTTTTTTTTACTTAGGCTGTTGTGAACAAGGCCTAACTCACCGCAAACCACCACAAATGTCCTGCAGACACGTGCCAAAGTGATTATGGTGAGTTACCATAGACTTGAATGAAAAGAGTTGAAATGCTTCAACTTCTTCCAAATTCCACATGAAGCTTCATTTTTGAAGCGCAGCAATTCAAAGCAAATGCTTCATGATTTGATAATCACTGTATGCTGTCCATGGTATCGATTGCACACTGCTTTTCTAGGAGTTTGAGGAGCATTAAAAATGCACCTTAAACTCCTGCTTTAAGGGTTTGTTCATATTTGACTCAAATGCTGATTCTTAACAAACGCACATATAGTGTTAATGAGCATTCATAGGTGAGCTTGATTCACGTTTAATGAGTGTTAAAGGCATTTTAAAAACACTCCCCCAAGTGCCCTATGAGCAATTTTGGCGTGTTTGACGGACATTAAAGGCGCTTTAAAAACCTCGCCACAAGCGCCTATTTTTTTGTATTTGTTTAATAAACTGTAATCTTATCAACGTGCCACAACTCCACCGCAAAAGCATGCCAGTACGTTTCCATAGACTTGAATGGAAGGAGTTGAAATGCTTCAACTCCTTCAAACTCAACATAAAGTTTCAATATGTTTTGATAATGTGAACAGCATGGTGTGCTGTCCATATTATCAATTGCATTGGAGTTTGACGAGTGTTAAAAAACACACCTCAAACTCCTGCTTTCAGTGTCAGTGTGAACAGGACCTTAAACAGCACATAAAATAATAACATGGGACAAAGTACTACTGTATATGTACTTTGTTCCCTGAGGAACAAAACACATTATTAATAATACAAGTTAGACTTTTTATTTAAGCTGCAAAAGGACAGAAATTCAAAAAAGCTTACTTTTAATTTTGACTTTAAAATTGTTTAATATTCCCTAAAATCAAATGTGACAATAGGATTCATTTACTACCAACTGGATCAATGTTAAGAACTACTACAATGACAGTAATCAGGGCCATATTTAGATATAACAGTATAGAGAGGAGTACACAGGGATAGCCCTTCATACAGATACTTACGCTGAATGATTGTTATCTTGAAATGAAAGTTATTAGAGGACAAACATACTGCCTGTTTTCAATGTAGTGCTCCAATTGAACTGTCCACTAGTTAGAATAGTAGGAGATAGATTCATATTAGCTGACCTTCAGAAAATCTTGTGGCCCTCCTATGCACACTCAGTTTCCTCTCTCAGTGTGATTTTGCTATAAAGTTGGAAGTGTCTGGAGGTGGTAGGTATGAGGGTTAGGTTACGTTTATGACCATGTTTACCTGGCAGGTGAGGTGTAAGAATGACTTTAAGTTTAACATTTATATGTATGGGTTATTTTTTGGCTTTGGAGTTGGGTCAGGTTAAGAGGTTAATGGCGAAAATTAAGGATTCATTTAGAGTTAGGGGTTAGGATCAGGGTAATATTAATGTACAAAGTTAGCATGGCCTTTCCAGTTGGACACAATGTTGGGTGTGGAATATTGTTAGTGACAGCACTATTTGTGTCCAAATGTACCAGCCAAAATGATCATGTCTACAGTGAATGTGCACTGAGCATGTCAGATGCACCATTCTTCCTGCCCCAGTGATGATGTCATGGTTCTCAAAAAGAATCTGCCTTTTGCATGAAAATGTTTGAAAGAACTGTGTGTTTTCTGTGGCAGCCAAATTAGTTTAATTGCCTAACCTTCACATGAAATGTGAAAAAGACCTTCACATGAAACAGCCAACACAGCTAGTTCTCATCTCAGTCACATGCATATGTGGGGCCTAAAGTGCAAAGACTCCCAGATTCTCTTCATAGCAAACCTTGGGTCGCAGGCTGGCTATATAACGCCGTTCTTCAGCAGTGGCCCTGGGGGACCTCTAGCAGGACATGTTTTCATACCGATCGGTAAAAACAGAAATCCCTTCAAAACAGGCCCCTGGGAAACCACAAGAGGTGAAAAACATTAATTCCTAGCAGGCCACCAAGGACCAACATTAAGTAACACTGATCAAGTAGATCAGTTATTAGGGTGTGCTATGTGAGCAGATTAAAAACCAAAACAAAATAAATCCAAACCCTGAGAAACAACTTGACAAAAATAATCTGCACAGTGCTTTGTCTAATTGTACTCTTTCCCAAGTCCCCCCCCACACACAGTGGCTGCTACAAAGTACGGCCTAATAGTAAACACTTGAGTTATGGCTTCTCGGCATCCAGCACTTCGCTGGGAACAGGCTGTTAGCTGTGCTTGGCAAAGTGTGGCAGTTCAATTCCAGTATGGAGATGGATCTCTCCATGAGCCTCCAGGGCAAAGGTGGGGTGAGCTGCTTCTGTAAACCGATGCCTGAAGGTGAACAGCAACTGTCCTTTCTGGACGTTATAGAAAGAGAGTCTTCCTTTCCTGTAGTCTAAAAGAACACCAACCCGGACTGGAGGTTCTATCAGGTGGACTTCACTCCAAACTTCATTGTGGAGGAACTTATACGAGAAGCTGAAAGGAGACACAAACATAGCTGTATGAAATGAGAATGTGGAGGGCAGAAAAACAGAAATGCCAAAAATGTTGGTGAAGCAGTTAAAATATATGTAAGCCCCAGCAATGAACATTTACTATCTGTTAGGTATATGCAATTAAAAAAACAAAAAAAAAAACAATTTGTACTGTAAAATCTTTCTCATGGACACTATTGAGGAACACATGATGTATGGCTTCACCAGTTGCTGTGGGCATACTCATGGAGGGGTCATCTGGGTTTGGGATCCATAGAGATGGACCACAGCCCTGGACTTGTAAAGCACCCTGTTGAATTGCCAAGGTGAGCGCCCAAGCAAGATCCCGTACCCAAAGCAACATTACAGACTATTTTACCATCCTGTGTTCACCCAGTGGCTGATAAGGAAATACCTTTTGATCATGCCAAAAATCTTGTCCGTTAATAACTTCTTGTCATCTCTGTGGCTTCCTGAGGAAACATACATGGCCTCCCACTGCACATTTGCAAGCACTTTGTGGTGAATGGACATGGGACATGACATGACATGGAATGGAGGGGACAAGGGACAAAGTCCCCTCCTAGGCGAGGATTGTGGAAGTGGGATCGGGTACCAATAAAAATTGGCACTTGCTCCCCCCCACCCTCAAAAAGACCCCCTGGAACTCAGTTACAGGCTGGGGGAAGGGATCGATCCAGCAGGACTTCAATTTTTTAGTGAAGTTTTGCTTTAAAAAGTATGAAGCAATTTATTAGGGCTAATTATGGTGCACTAGGGCTTAATTATAGAAACATTTTTGTTTATAGCGCCAAACATAAAAAGTGCACAGGTGATCAAATACCACCAAAAGAAAGCTCTATTTGTGTGAAATAAAGGATGTAAATTTCATTTATGTACCATATTGTATGACCGCGTAATTGTCGGTTAAACTAGTGCAGCGCTATGTCTAACTTTGAGTTCACTATATATTTTTTATAGCCGAAAGTAAAAAAAATATAGTTTTTCTTCAAAATGTTCGGTCTTTTTTTGTTTAGAGTGCGAAAAATAAAAAACGCACAGGTGATCAAATACCAATGAAAAAAGCTCTATTTGTGTGAAATAAAAGACGAAATTTTGTTTGGGTGCAGCATTGCATGACCACGCAATTATCAGTTGAAATAGTGCCGCGCCGAATAGCAAAAAGAGGTCTGGTCATTAAGGGGGGTAAATCCTCAGGATGGCAAGTGGTTAAAGTTAATCTGTTGCTTTGCCATGAGGTTCACTATAAGGCCAGCCCACTGTAACATACCATCTGTTTGGGACTGTTTTACATGGCATTATTAATGGGTCCTCCCAGCATTCAGCATCTTTTTCTTTTAGGACGAAAAGCTGAAATTACTTCACTGTTAACACCCTCTGATGATTTTAGTATTGCAATGCATTAAAAAACTGCATATGGTAACCATTCCTTTGTGCTTGGGGGGTCCGAGTTATGTCATATACACAGGGAGAAGGTGCTTACGATGAAAGTGTGGACATTTTGCTCTGTGTAGCTACCCACGTGCACTCTAAATTGATTATGTTTGATCCCAGCCCACGGCACCACCTGCCTGGAGTTTTCATGTTCTCCCTGTGCCTGCATGGGTTTCCTCTGGGTACTCCAGTTTCCTCCCAAACTCCAAAGACATGCTGGTAGGTGAATTGGATCCTGTCTAAATTGTCCCTAGTATGTGTATGTATGAATGTGACTTAGGGACCTTAGATTGTACGCCCCTTGAGGGTTAGGGACTGATGTGAATGTACAATATATACAGTATGTAAAGAGCTGCGTAAATTGACGGCGCTATATAAGTACCCAAAATAAATAATTAATGAATAAATAAATTACGTAGGTTTTGCTGGTTATTACCTTGTAGAAGAACAAGAGCACTGCATACACCATGATGTGCTGTCTTGTGCAGAGGCATCTTCCTCAGGAGAGGGGTGAAAGGTTGCACCAACACTGTATGCATTGCACTCAGTTACCATCATCTCCCAGTAATGTCTCCCACTGGCTGGCAGCAGCTCTCCCAGAACTAATGGAATTCTATACCAAAAAAAAAAAAAAATCAAATAGTTTTTTGGACTCATATCATCATTTTATATACAGTTGCAAGAAAAAGTATGTGAACCCCTTGGGATTACATGCAGATTTGCATGAATTGGGCATAAAATGTGCTCTGAATGTCATCTAAGTCACAACAATAGAAGAACACAGTCTGCTGAACATAATACTACACAAACATTAGATGTTGCCATGGTTTAATTGCACATAACATGTAAACATTCACAGTGCAGGGAGGAAAAAGTATGTGAGGCCCTAGCTTAATGACTTCCCCCAGAAGCTAATTGGAGCCAGGAGTGAGCCAACCTTGACTCCAATCAGTGTGATGATATTGGATGTGTTGCTGACAGCTGTCCTGCCCTTAAAAAAACACACACCTGTTTTGGGTTTACCGGTTTCAAGAAGCACTGTCTGATGTGAACCATGCCTCGCAGAAAAGAGCTCTCAGAAGACCTATGATCAAGAATTGTTGACTTGCATGAAGCTGGAAAGGGTTACAAAAGTATCTCCAAAAGCCTTGATGTTCATGTGTCCACGGTAAGACAGACTGTCTACAAATGGAGAAAGTTTAGCACTGTTGCTACTCTCCCTAGGCGTGGTCGTCCTGTAAAAATGACTGCAAGAGCACAGCGCAGAATGCTGCATGAGGTAAAGAAGAATCCCAGAGAGTGTCAGCTAAAGACCTACAGAAATCTCTGGCACATGCTAACATTTTTGTTGACACATCTACAATAAGGAAAACATTAAACAAGAATGGAGTACATGGGAGGACACCACGGAGGAAGCCATTGCTGTCCAAAAAGAATATTGAAGCACGTTTGAAGTTTGCAAAAGAGCACCTGGATGTTCCACAGCACTACTGGCAGAATATACTGTGGACAGATGAAACCAAGATTGAGTGGTTTGGGAAGAACACACAACACTATGTGTGGAGAAAAAAAGGCGCAGCACACCAACATCAAAACCTCATCCCCACTGTAAAACATGGCGGAGGGAGCATCATGGTTTGGGGCTGCTTTGCTGCCTCGGGGCCTGGACGGATTGTTGCCATTGATGGGAAAATGAATTCCAGAGTTTATCAAGACATTTTGCAGGAAAACGTACGACCATCTGTCCGCCAACTGAAGCTCCGCAGAGGATGGGTGATGCAACAGGACAATGACCCAAAGCATACAAGTCATTCAACAAAACAATGGCTGCAACAGCACAGAATACGCCTTCTGGAGTGGCCCAGTCAGAGTCCTGACCTCAACCCGATTGAAATGCTGTGGCATGACCTTAAGAGAGCGATTCACACCAGACATCCCAAGAATATTGCTACACTGAAACAGTTTTGTGAAGAGGAGTGGTCCAAAATTACTCCAGATCGTTGTACAGGTCTGATCTGCAACTACAGGAAACGTTTGGTTGAGGTTATTGCTGCCAAAGGAGGGTCAACCGGTTATTAAGTTCAAAGGTTCACATACTTTTTCCTCCCTGCACTGTGAATGTTTACATGTTATGTGCAATTAAACCATGGCAACATCTAATGTTTGTGTAGTATTATGTTCAGCAGACTGTGTTCTTCTATTGTTGTGACTTAGATGACGTTCAGAGCACATTTTATGCCCAATTCATGCAAAACTCCACGTAATCCCAAGGGGGTCACATACTTTTTCTTGCAACTGTATGTAGTCGATCAACAAAGGTCAACTGTTGGCATGTTTTGTTTAATAAAAGCAAACTAATGATCTCTGATTACTGAGATTTGTGTAGAAATCCTATTTCCAAGCTGCAGAACTTGAGTAGAATGTTGAGTTGTATTTTAATACAATACCTTTATTCAGCTATCCATAATTGTGTAGTCAGTCCACATAAGGTCCACTTCACGTGGGGAATCCTCTGCCTTACATTGAGAGAATCCTCCCATCAACACCCTGTTGCTATGACAAGGTCTACAAAAACCATGCCTAAATGCGCTCTATACCTTACCACTTGGCCTTATTAATAAAATGTAAAAGCTTCAAGACATCAGAACAGAAGATACTGAAGAAAATAAAGCAGAATTTTTTAAACACAGCTAAATTTCCATCCAGTACTTCCACTGCAGAAAAGCACCATCTTTAAGTGGCTCATATGGAGGCTCATATCGGGCTACATAGCAAACTATATTAATGTCAAATATTTCAGTTTCTGTGGTGGTGTGGATGCTATCCTCAGTCTAGATTTAGATTGTGGAGACCTTCACAAGATAAAGGATGGGTTTCCTAACTTCAAATTGATATTTTCCCACGTTTGGGTTTCTGTATATCTACAACTTTCCTATTGTCAGGGAATTCTGGTAAAACGCAAGGGAATTCCAGAACGGCGACTGGTGCATAGATATGTGCACATCACTGCTCATAGAAATGAGCACAGGCACATCGCTAATAAGAATGAGCATAGGCTCATGCATGTGCACAAGAAGGCGCACACGTGTGCATGCACGCAGGAACGCGCCCACAGTTTCTGGCATCAGATGGGCTATTTAAAGGATGCTGTTGCCCACTGTCAATGCTGATTGGTCTTCAGCTGTTCCCTGTGTCCTGCGTTCTTCCAGTGTGCTCCCTTGTTACTGACCCGACCTGCTCCTGACCTGATTTCGGATTCTGATCTTGACTTGTCACCTGTTCCTGACCTGGCTTCTTCCGGATTTCGGCTCTGCTTATGATTTGATACCTCGCTGCCCATCTGTTGAGGACCCCGGCTTATCCTGACGTCACGCCGCTGCTGCCTATGGTCGGAGCTATTTATATATCTCAGATTTTATATTGCAACATCATTTACTACTGCACTTTACTTCATGGATCACCATGGACATTACTGTATATAGATTCTGCCCGTGATACACTTTACTGTTTGGAATTTGCTTTTTGAGCTGTTTAGCTGATATTTTCATGCTTTTACTTGATGCACTTTACTGTTTCACTCAGATCATTACACTCATTATGCACTTTACCATATTGTTTGATTTTTAGATTTCGCATTTACTAATTTTTTTGTGCACTTTTATGTGTTGCACTTGACCATTCCGCAATAATTTGTATTTTTTTTTTTTTTTTTTTTTTTTTTTTTTAAGCGTTGCACTTTCTTACATTACTAGTGTAGGGAATTGTTACCTTCACCTTGTGTGCTAGCTGCTCCCCAGATATCGCTAGCGCTCACCTTTATATTAGATTCTGGGACTACTAAGCATGGCTACTGTTCCTGACCTGATGGTTCACCAGTCTCCTTGAGACCGCATCATCTGCTGGCACTCATGTTCCTGCTGTCCTCAGCACCCTCTATTCCACTCTCAGTGGGGTCTGGGCTGGAGATGCAAGAGAGGTCAACCTCGTCATTTCAGTCTCTTCTCAGGTACGTGACACCTGTGGAACTGTACCTTCTGTTCTGTATGTCTAAAAATGCTTAATAAAAAAGACTGAAACAAAGGTGTGGCTGCTTAAAAAACATACCTGTATATTATAATCAGAATCAGGCTTATTCTATAATGTAGGGCCAACTACAATGACTAATCAAGCAGAAGCAATCTGAGCACTTGAGACTACACTATTAGTTTAATATACTCAGATTGGTTAAGAGAGAACTCTGACTGGTGTAATGGGTTGTTGAATTGTGTACCACTTTGTTAATTTTTAATACTCTATTAAAGTGAACTTGTCAATCATTATATACTTTTAAAAGTAGAAAGTCTGGAGTTTAAATGGTGCCCTTTTTTGGCCAACGTAAGAGGTATAGCCAATGCTTTTCTGGCTGTACTCCTATGGATCACAGGAGTGCAGTTAGTTCTGCACTCCTATGACCTGCTGAAGTTGTCGGCTGACGTCACAGAGCAGGTCCAAGCACTAAAAAGATCCCCACCGTATGGTCGGGAACCACCACGAAGCCTGTACCGGTGCTAGAAATGCAGAGCAGAGAACCAGGGACTGACAGTCATGGCTCTCTGCTCACAGTGATGTGGGAGAACTGAGCTATCACTTTGTTTGATTGCTTAGTTCTCAGTTGCAGTGGATACTGTATTCATCTAGGTGAGTATAACAGGGTTTTTTTTTTTTTTTCAAAAGCCCATACTTCTCTTTTAAGGATGCAAGATTTTGGGACCCCTGACGAAGAAACAATGGTTTTCCAAAGCTTGGATCTTTGGGAAATTCAGTTAGCCAATAGAGGGTACCACTTAAAGTGGTTTTAAAGGCTCAAGGTTTTTTACCTTCATGCATTCTATGCATGAAAATTAATAAACCTTCTCTGTGCAGCATCCTCCCCAGCCCCCCTAATACTTACCTAAGCCCCCCTCCCGATCCAGCTATGTGCACTGGAGTCTCTGCTATCCTGGGACTCCCTCTGCTCATTTGCTGAGATAGATGCGGGAGCCATTGGCTCCCACTGCTGTCAATCACAGGCAGTGAGCCAATGAGATAGGAGAGGGGGTGAGTCACAGCTTCATATGTGAATAGATACAAGGACCAGCGAGTGCCCCCATAGCAATCTGCTTGCTGTGGGGGCACCCGACAGGAGGCAGGGGTCAGGAGCGTCGGTGGGAGATCCGAGAAGAGGAGGATCCGGGCTACTCTGTGCAAATCTCACTGCACACAGCAAGTAAGTATAGACATGTTTGTTATTAAAATAAAAAGCCTATAGAATAATTTTAAACACCTAACTTTCCACATTAATCTATGGCTAACACTATTCAAGGTTCTACTAGACTTTTTAAAGCAAAAGTCCATTCTAAGTATACCAAACATGATGCCTATCTTTACCTATATAAACCATTCTGATTTACTTTTACTTTATTACTGCCTTGTGGGTGATCAGGAAGGAATTTTATTTTTCCCCCGCTGGAGCATATTGGACCGTGCTTTATAGGGTTTTTTGCCTTCTTCTGGATCAACTGTGGGTACAGAATGCGTATATAGGGTTTTCTATTCATTTTCTAAATGTGTATTCTATTTATTTATTTTTTCTGTTGCTTGAACTAAATGGACTTGAGTGGCTAGTAAAGACACTTTAAATTGACAGTATAGAATGGCAGTTGGTTGAGATTAGCCAGGAAATCAAGGAATGCCAGGTGGCAGTAACAAGGTAAAATGAAATTGGCAGGTGGCAGAGGAGGCCTTTCTAGTGTATGAATAATAGTATTAGTAGACACCTCATGGTGTCTGCTTTTCAGCAGGACTTTTAAAAATCTAAAATGGATAAGTTCACTATAAATAAGACCACCCAATATACTTCAAGTAGCAGTGATGAAACTGAACCTCTCCTTATGCTGCTTCACAGTTTGGGTTTCAGCTGAAGCTAACAAGATCCCACCTATGATGCCTACGAACTGTTATACAATGCTCTGAAGTCATTTAGATATTTTTAAGTAATGTGGATGGCTTTCCGCCAAACCTTGCAAGCTCTACAAATGATGCTGTTATCACTTCATTTACTTCAAATATATTTACTGCCTGGAAAGTGGATACAAACCCTGCGATTTCTCGCTCTTCTGCAATGCTGATCACAGTTCCATCTGGTGACAAGTCCAGGGCAGGGTGTGCAGTATCCCGTAGTAAGTGAAATCTAGTGCCTGCAAAGAATAAAGACTTTAGTATTCTGGACTGAATGTTCTTCACACTTTTCTTATTTTACCAAGAATGGAAGCAGTGGAAATTAGTATCTAAGATATAGAAACTGAGCATGGCAATCATCTTCAAACGACTCAGTCTCCTCACCTATATGATCATAATATTGCAGGACTATCCACAGAGCCATAAAAGCAGAAAATGTACAAGGTTATGTACATTCCATGACAAAATATGGAAAAGCAAACCTCTAAGTTGAGAGATCTGAGATCCCGCACTGTCATAATAGAGGCACTAGGAGTAAGAATGCTCCATGAGGCACCTATTAAGGTGGAAAGCCCTTTCTAGTGGCATCCCATTATAGAAGGCTTGTCCAGTATGTATGGATATGAAGAAACAGAAGAGATGTAAAGAAAGAGAAATGGGAAGAAGGGAGAAGGACGGAAGAAAAAAAACTTGCTTGGGAAAGGAGGTAGGGAATTAGGGAGGAGCGGATGGGGAAAAATGGGTGGGAGGGAAAATGGAGGGGACAAGAAATGGAGCCCAAAACCATCCCCAGCATGACCTCCCCCTTAATAGTGCTGCCCCTCCCCCCCCAGGCTCATACACACATGTGGTACAGTGACACTTGCCAGCCACCCGGCAATGACAGGACTGGCATCTGTTCTGGAACCCCTGTTCCGTGACTTGCTTTGAAGGCTGAGTCCAGCTGCCCCCCCATGCTACACCACTTAAGCTGACAAGAGCCCAGGCGCCAGGCTGTAGTATCTAATCTCCATGGCGACCTAGTATCTGGGATTTGACGAGTCCTGGTCTACATAGCACCTCCCGTGGTTGTAAAATATGCAGAGAATGACCTAACTAGGAATATTCTATCCAGGTTGTTGTTGGGTTATGTGACGGGAGTGACTTTTGGGGGTGGGGGGACCCCTGTATCATCTCCTAATGCTCCTCCTTTTATGTGTAAGCCACCCTGTGCCTGTTAGGGGTACAGGGTGGAATGTTCATTGTTCACGGCCAGGTGCTGCATCCCATTGTTCTATTGTGTCTTGCTGGCCAGCAAACTATTATGGGATGTATGTGTTCCTGTATTGTGTACTGTCATGTGGTTATCCCTTTGTTCTATTGGGTGTCTTGGTTTGGTGGGGGGGGGTGTTACCAGCAGCCCTTCTCCCTGATGGGATGGCCTGCTGATGTGTTTCCTGTTCCTGGTTGCATTTCCCCGCCTTGTTTATATATCTTGTGTTTGTGTTAAAATAAAGCAGTTCTACTTCCTGTCTTAAGAAGCCTGGTGCTGTCTATTTCCTGTATGGTCAGCGGTGGTGTCCATGGATAATGTTCGGACAGGGAAGCGGGAGTCTAATGGAAATACCCTAGCGCAATCGGGGTCCGGTTCCATTACAGGTTATGACACTGTGGCACTAGGCTTGATAACGGCCTCAGAGACCCTTTCATCAAAGTGTGAGAGAGAAACAGGCAAGGAACTTTAGTCCAAGGAAGAAAACGAGAGGTACGTAATGTCAGGGCACACATTTTCTTATCATCATATACAAAATACATTAAGCCAGCATTTTGAAAATCCTTAAAAAAGGATAGAGATAAACAAGGTAGAGCATGAATAGCAAAACAAGGAACGATTTGTCAAGAATTTACAGGTCCCCTTTTTTCCACATTGGCCTTTTTTTTCTTTGCCATGATCTACCTGCAGTTAAAGCATAAATGCTGTTTAATTCATTTTTAATACTCAAAGCAAACTCTCCATCCGTCCATGTATCCATGCCTAATTTTCCTGAGAAATCACTTTGAAAAATACCCCCCTAGCATTTCTGGCTGTGGCCATGTTGAGTAAGGACAGATGATTTATGTAGCATTGACTTCCTGGAATCTATCTGTCCTTAGTTCAGGCATACAAGCAGGGGGGTGTGCTTAGCTGAAAAAACCCTCCTCCCCTCGAGAAGACTCCTGGGATGTATGAAACCAGGAAGGAACCAAAGAAATATAAAAACAATTGCTACCTATATAATTTCTAATGCTAGCAGCATAAGGATTACAAATAGTCAATGTTGATTGGGAGATTGAAGTTCTACTTTAAGGAGCTTCATGGATTTAATATTGTTCTGAAGAATTGTGGTGCCACCACTTGCCAAGCATCTGATTACCATTATGGCTTTGGAGGTACAGTTGCAAGAAAAAGTATGTGAACCCCTTGGGATTACGTGGAGTTTTGCATGAATTGGGCATAAAATGTGCTCTGAATGTCATCTAAGTCACAACAATAGAAGAACACAGTCTGCTGAACATAATACTACACAAAAATTAGATGTTGCCATGGTTTAATTGCACATAACATGTAAACATTCACAGTGCAGGGAGGAAAAAGTATGTGAAGCCCTAGCTTAATGACTTCTCCCAGAGCTAATTGGAGCCAGGAGTGAGCCAACCTTGACTGCAATCAGTTTGATGATATTGGATGTGTTGCTGACAGCTGTCCTGCCCTTAAAAAACACACACCTGTTTTGGGTTTACTGGTTTCAAGAAGCACTGTCTGATGTGAACCATGCCTTGCAGAAAAGAGCTCTCAGAAGACCTACGATCAAGAATTGTTGACTTGCATGAAGCTGGAAAGGGTTACAAAAGTATCTCCAAAAGCCTTGATGTTCATGTGTCCACGGTAAGACAGACTGTCTACAAATGGAGAAAGTTTAGCAGTGTTGCTACTTTCCCTAGGCGTGGTCGTCCTGTAAAAATGACTGCAAGAGCACAGTGCAGAATGCTGCATGAGGTAAAGAAGAATCCCAGAGTGTCAGCTAAAGACCTACAGAAATCTCTGGCACATGCTAACATTTTTGTTGACACATCTACAATAAGGAAAACATTAAACAAGAATGGAGTACATGGGAGGACACCACGGAGGAAGCCATTGCTGTCCAAAAAGAATATTGCAGCACGTTTGAAGTTTGCAAAAGAGCACCTGGATGTTCCACAGCACTACTGGCAAAATATACTGTGGACAGATGAAACCAAGATTGAGTTGTTTGGGAAGAACACACAACACTATGTGTGGAGAAAAAAAGGCACACCACACCAACATCAAACCTCATCCCCACTGTAAAACATGGCGGAGGGAGCATCATGGTTTGGGGCTGCTTTGCTGCCTCAGGGCCTGGACGGATTGTTGTCATTGATGGGAAAATGAATTCCAGAGTTTATCAAGACATTTTGCAGGAAAAAACGTACGACCATCTGTCCGCCAACTGAAGCTCCGCAGAGGATGGGTGATGCAACAGGACAATGACCCAAAGCATACAAGTAATTCAACAAAACAATGGCTGCAACAGCAGAGAATACGCCTTCTGGAGTGGCCCAGTCAGAGTCCTGACCTCAACCCGATTGAAATGCTGTGGCATTACCTTAAGAGAGTGATTCACACCAGACATCCCAAGAATATTGCTACACTGAAACAGTTTTGTGAAGAGGAGTGGTCCAAAATGACTCCAGATCATTGTGCCGGTCTGATCTGCAACTACAGGAAACGTTTGGTTGAGGTTATTGCTGCCAAAGGAGGGTCAACCAGTTATTAAGTCCAAAGGTTCACATACTTTTTCCTCCCTGCACTGTGAATGTTTACATGTTATGTGCAATTAAACCATGGCAACATCTAATGTTTGTGTAGTATTATGTTCAGCAGACTGTGTTCTTCTATTGTTGTGACTTAGATGACGTTCAGAGCACATTTTATGCCCAATTCATGCAAAACTCCACGTAATCCCAAAGGGTTCACATACTTTTTCTTGCAACTGTATATGTGTGGGAAAGACTTTGTGATTTCCTGCTCTTCTTGATTTAGAATTACAAGCACTCCCAGGCAAATTAGGGGCAACTTAATTTCCTTACTTTCCATTTGGGACTGTTCTCATCTTTATTTTGGCCTTATGGTACAAGGGGCATATGGCATAAGGTATATATGGATGGGATATGATCATATGAGAAGTTTAGTAACATGTAGAGGTGGCTTAGGGGATCCTCTTTTCAGCTTCTGTTTTTAATAACTGGCCAATTTATATGTGTTTGCTTTATGTGATTTTGATTTTTTTTTTTGGTAATAAATAAATAATATATGTTTTGACTAGTATATGGGGTATGTGTACGTAGCTGTCTACTGGGGGTCCTTTTTTTTATCACTTTTCATAATATGTAATTTAGTAGTAGATGAGTAGAGCATTAGCCAGATTTTTTATTTTTGAATTTTGACTTACTTTCCATTTACAATACCAGATATTGTTGATAATTGCACACGTCATGACATACTCCCTCTTTCCCGTGCAACAGTGTTACATTCTAGCCAATGGCTGCTCAGGCCTCAATCATACGATTGTGAAGGCATGTGGGCATACCCTATGTTCCTCCATATCTGGAATTATTTTGATTTTTAGAGCGTATTGGTACAGATCAGATGGAGTGAGGGTAGTGCTAAATGTAAGTATAGGAATCAGAGGCAAGAATGTTTTACTTTTGGTTAAAAAAAATCCAATAAATCTCTCCAGTGATCCTTCTTGATTTCTGAAATCTCAGATCAATCTTCCCAACCAAAAATTGGCCCAATAAGCTTGTCAATAATTTGCCCTCGCAAAAGGCAATGTTATTTCATTCCACCAGAGGGAACACTGTATTCAAAGTCAAGGTCAAGGTATACACTTTGGCTGGACTATAATTATGGCTGGTAGTTCACTACAGTTTAATCACAATACCGGCAATAAATAAATGAGAAGTGTATTGCATAAATGTTGCATTATCTCCGTAACACATGTGGGCATGTACACACATCCTGATTCTGTGTGCATCTTTATCTCAAGTGACAAGCACTATTTTTCATATGTTCTGTGAATATTTTTTAAAGTTTGTGAACACACAAAAGCTTGTAATGCCTTTTACTGTACACTAATGGGTATTGAAACCATTAGGTACACAACATGGGAGATTTTTGGCAAAACATTGTCATTTTGCAAAAAGCGGTTTAAGCCACTTGGGAGAGTAAAATTCAGGTGGTTTCCGGTGGTTTTTAAGGGTGCAATGAACATTAAATGGCTCCTGGGGGTTAGGAAAGCTTCTTTCAACTATCCTGGACTAACTCTTGTGCAAAAAACAACTTTTAGCTGTATCATGTTCATCTATGTTTTTTTCACAATATGACAAAAACAGCTAAAGAAATAGTAACAAAAAAAAAAAAAAAAAAAAAAAATATATATATATATATAAAATAACAGTACATAACTTATGATCCACTGCATAACATAAAGTAAAACTAGAACATTTTGAATTTCAAAAAAAAAATTCACTTATAAAGCTCAGCAAGTAAAGTTGAGAATTTCTGCTTTGGTGAAATTTCACTGAAAGCAGTTTACTGGGACTGACTAAAAGCATATAACAGCTGAGAAGTCATTGTTCCAGGGACCCAAGTGTAGCTGAAGTACTTACCTTTGGTGGATATGAGAGCTGCCTCACTCTGCTCGCTGGATCCAAATGTATTGGCAGCTTTTACGTAGAAGAAATAGTTCTCTCGTGGTTGCAGTGAAACTCTCAACTGCTGATCCTTAATAGCAGATACAGACCTAAAAAGTATGACCAAACCAGAAAGTGGCATGTTTACTAGAGAGAACATCTGTGCAGGCCCCTAACTCATCATGACTTAGAAAAACTTAAAAAAAAAACTTATCAGGAAACATACTGTTACAGTTGTGTTCAAATAATAGCAGTGTGTTGAAAAAAGTGAATAAAGCTCAAAATCCTTCTAATCGCTTATATTTCCATACACAGATCTATTCCAAATCAAAACATGAAGAAAAATATATCAAATTTGTGTTGTTCCTCTAAACAAATTGAAGAAAAGTGAATATTGGACTGTTCAAAAAAATAGCAGTGTTTGTATTCTTCTTTACAAACTCAAACATTCACTATATAAACTGAAAAATGTTTGACGATTTTGCTTTCCTTTGAATCACTTAATATTTAGATGTATAAGCACTGTTTCTGAGAACTGCTGTACATCTGTGTTGCATGGAGTCAACCAACTTCTGGCACCTGTGAACAGGTATTCCAGCCCAGGATGATTGGACTACATTCCACAGTTCTTCTCTATTCTTGGTTTTGCCTCAGAAACCTCATTTTTGATGTCACCCCACAAGTTTTCTATTGGATTAAGATCCGGGGATTGGGCTGGCCACACCATAACGTCAATCTTGTTGGTCTGGAACCAAGATGTTGCACGTTTACTGGTGTGTTTGGGGTCGTTGTCTTGTTGGAACACCCATTTCAAGGGGATTTCCTCTTCAGCATAAGGCAGCATGACCTCTTCAAGTATTATAATGTATTCAAACTGATCCATGATCCCTGGTATGCGATAAATAGGCCCAACACCGTAGTATGAGAAACATCCCCATATCATGATGCTTGCACAACCATGCTTCACTGTCTTCACAGTGTACTGTGGCTTGAATTCAGTGTTTGGGGGTCATCTGACAAACTGTCTCCGCCCACTAGACCCAAAAAGAACAATCTTACTTTCATCAGTCCACAAAATGTTGCACCATTTCTCTTTAGGCCAGTCAATGTGCTCTTTGGCAAATTGTAACCTCTTCAGCACATCTTTTTTTCAACAGTGGGACTTTGCGGGGGCTTCTTGCAGATAGCTTGGCTTCACATAGGCGTCTTCTAATTGTAACAGTCCTCACAGGTAACTTTACACCTTCTTTGATCTTCCTGGAGCTGATTGTTGGCTGAGTCCTTGTCATTTTGGCTATTCTTCTATTCATTCGAATGGTAGTTTTTCGCTTTCTTCCACGTCTTTCAGGTTTTGGTTGCCATTTTAAAGTATTTGCGATCATTTTAGCTGAGCAGCCTATCATTTTCTGCATTTCTTTTATATGTTTTCCCCTCTCCAATCAACTTTTTAATCAAGGTACGCTGTTCTTCTGAACAATGTCTGGAACGACCCATTTTCTTCAGAATTTCAGAGAGAAATGCACTGTAACCAGCATGTACAACATTTGCTGCCTTCCTTCCTTAAATAAGGGCAATACTTGCCACCTGTTTTTCAAAGAATGAATGACCTCACTAATAGAACTCCACACTGCTATTATTTTGAACATGCCCCTTCCAATTAGTGATTCAATTACACAGAATCAGCAGCATGCATGTCATGACTGTTGGGTCTGTTGGATTTCTAGCTCTCTGCCTCCTTTTTCCTGAATGCTCAGTCAAGCTGTATAAATTCTGCACTTTGAATGGATGTAGAGAAGAGAAAATTGCACATAAACAGGTACAACTTATACAGAGATTAAACAAATTCTCCTACATATCACCTGCAACCAGTCACTATACTGGGTATATAGTAGGTAAGGGTTTACAACCACTTTGAAGTATAACTTTTACTTTTGTAGTTATTCTTTACTTTAGCACCATCCACCCCCACCCAGCACTGCAACACTCATACGGACTTACGCTACTGGGTGCATACTATCTGAAACCACAATTGTTCATCTGTACATGTGTACATACTTAACAAACACCCTATGTATTCACATACAGCCGCATCCTATAATTGTTATTTTATGATATGCTCTAGGCAGCAGCTCTGGTATCCAGGGGATGGGGGCAGGGATACACCCAAATATTATACCATATGGCCAAGGATACCCAAGTCTATGAGGCCTTATACTCACCCTTACATGTCTTGACAGATCAACCCTATGGAACATGAGAAGTCACACAGCCACCACTGTGCACTCTCCTAGTTGGTCCCTTAATACCGCTACCTGCTTCTGCAGCAGCTGTGCAGCTTCCTGGTGGGTAGCACATTGGGGATCTTACAACAGTGTAGACAGGTGAAGGAACAACTCCCCCTCTCTGTTGGGGTACCTCAAGGCTCTGTCCTCGGGACCCTTCTCTTCTCCATCTACACCTCCTCCCTTGGCCAACTCATACACTCTCACGGCTTCAACTACCACCTCTATGCCGACGACACACAAATCTATCTCTCAACCCCCCACCTCACCCCCTTGGTCTCCACCCGAATCACACACCTACTGAGCGACATATCAGACTGGATGTCGCTCCACTTCCTTAAACTGAACCTCTCCAAAACCGAGTTTCTTGTCTTCCCCCCAGCCCGACACCACCCCCCATTGACTTCTCCGTCATATCCAACAACGCCACCATCAAACCCACCCCGCAGGCCAGAGTACTTGGTGTCATTCTGGACTCCAACCTATCCTTCCAGCCCCAAGTCCAATCTTTAACAAACTCGTGCAGACTCCACCTCCGCAACATCGCCAAAATACGCACGTTCCTAATTCCAGAAACCACTAAACAGCTCATCCACTCCCTCATCATATCAAGACTCGACTACTGCAACTCCCTCCTCACTGGCCTGCCTTGCCGCTGGCTATCCCCGCTTCAGTCGATCCTGAATACGGCTGCCAGACTCATTCATCTTTCCAACCACTCCATCTCCGCCAACCCCCCTTTGCCAATCCCTCCACTGGCTTCCGATTGGGCAATGGATCAAATTCAAAATCCTAACACTGACGTACAAAGCTGTCCACCATACTGCCCCGAACTACATCACCGACCTAATATCCAAGTACCGCCCAGCACGCACACTCCGCTCCTCACAAGACCTCCTTCTCTCTAGTTCCCTGGTCTCCTCCTCCCATGCCCGCCTCCAGGACTTCTCCAGGGTGTCACCCATCTTCTGGAACTCCCTGCCCCAACCCATCAGATTATCACCTACTCCCCTCTCCTTTAGGCGCACCCTGAAAACCCATCTCTTCAGGGAAGCCTACCCCACCCCCTGCTAACCTGCCGACCTCCTTCACTCTTCCTACCACTCTATCCCCCACAGCTATCTCCTCCTGTACCACTATCCCCTCCCTCCTAGATTGTAAGCTCGAAAGAGCAGGGCCCTCGATCCCCTCATGTTTTGCATTGTATTGGTATTGTTCTGTCACATGTTCTGTCCCCCTTTGTAATGTACAGCGCTGAGCGAACCATTGGCGCTTTATAAATACTGTATAATAATATGACTTTGGGGTGATGTTGCTGGGGAAGGGAGTAAATTAGAGGAAACATAAGTAAAGTTAACCTTTAGACCTTACATTTTGGATCATGCTATATAAACTTCGAATATCCAAAGACATGCCCATCAGAAAAAGAAATAGCCAGCTTTTTTGATTGATTTTTGCTGACTTCTATTTTCTCCAAGATAGGGCCAATGCCGAAGCGGTTTGGCTGCTCTCTCTCCTCACTAAGAAGGTTGATTGGTTTTATTATTGGATATTTATTTATTACTGGATATTTGAAGCCTATGACCAGGCTTCAAGACGAGCAGAAAATCTTACCTGAGCCCCTCTCCCTCTGAGGAGTACTGCTTGCACCACTCCAAAGTGAAGGTGTCTGTGTATTCTGGATGAGCGGGGCTCCATCTGATTACAGCAGTGTTCCAGCACACTGTGCACTCCTCCGCTTTAAGCACCGGGATGGAAGGAGCTGTCAAACAAAAGAAGAGCTGTTCAGAAACTTGGTCTATGATTCCTGCACAAAAACTCAATTTACATCCATATAAAAATCAGTGGACAACTAAACCAAAACTAGCTATTCCCATAAATAACTACATGATATTCCAAAAATCTGCAAAAGAAAGTCGTGCCCATGCATGGCTTTCCGGATTTGCCTTTGTTATAAGCGCACACATTATGGCAATAGTTGAAACAGAAGCTAAAAGCTGTGCAATAGGCTGGTTTCATATATGTGCTACCATGCAGCCAACCAGCAGTTTGCATGTCCTAGGTTGGCAATGCTGCTCCTGCAGAGGAGCAGGCTCTGTTAGTATTGTCACCCTAGGAAAGGAGGTAATTTACCTTAACGGAAAAAACACTGACCCTTCACACAATAGAGAGTAAGCTACCAGGCATTTTTTTGGTGTTTTATGCACACTGATACTCTGCTAAATACACAGAAAAGCAGTATATATCGGTGTTGTGAATTCTTCCAATAAATACATACATAAATCATTCCAGAGTTGAGCAATAGGAAACTCACCTTGCTACAGTGTTTACGGTGTCACTGGGACAGGAAGTGAGGAGAAATCTCTCCAACAGCAACAAAAATCCAGCAGAAGATCTAACTTTTCTTCCCATTTCCAAAGCCCAAAATGGAAATATAGGAGCTGTGTTTTTATTCTGGACATGCTGAGCTCTTGTTCTGATCACCTGCAAATCTGTCTTATATAGTAACATAGTTAGTGTAGCAGCATCCTGGAAAGCTAGGGGGAGCTAGCTAAGGTTTTTTCTAGCTAGGTAGGCTTAGTAGCAGCCTGGGCTGAGCCAGGAGGGGTTATTTCAGGTCAGGGCTGAGAGGCTCAGCAGGTCAATTCCCTGATACCTCCCACTGCTCTAGAATCTTGGAGAATATTCTAGAAGCAGTGTACAGAGGTGAGGAGGGGCTGGCCTGCACACTTAGGGGACCCTGGCCAATTCTCAACCAAGATGCTTGGCATGGGGTCAGGACAGCCCTTAAGAGTGACCGAGCCTGCTCAGCATTGGGAGAGTTTGGCTGGAAGATGGAGTGAGAAGGCTTAGGTACAGGAGCCTGGGAGGGGGGCCAGTTGGGAAAGGGCCTACCTCCAGGCAGTGGTGCTGCAGAGGAGGAAAGCTCAGACCTCATTGGCCCCCAGAGTGAGAACCACCTGTGCAGCAGGGAAGGAGCTAGCCCAGCAGAAGGCCAGAAAGCAGCTACCAACCCAACAGCTTATAGGACCAGGGCTGAATGAGTAATCCTACATCCCCTGGACAGTTTAGGGAAAAGGAAACACACTGGTAGAGAACTTGATTAGCTCCTTACCCAGGACTATTTATCTTAACGAGGCAGGTACTGGATGCCCTTGCCCATTCCTTCAGACAGCTGGATAGAGGGGAATTCTCTGGGGTCAGGGGGGGGGGGTACACCAGGAGAGGTTGGAGAGCTCTCCAAGAAGAGAAGTTATCTTTGTAAAGACTTGTGCATAGTTCCAGTAAGCGGTCTTCAGTTGCAGTTCCCTTGGGCATCCCATACACTCCTTACCCCATCCAGGTTTAATACCCCTTAATAAAACAGAAAAAAAAAACAAGCTCAAGGACTGTTTACTGTCTCCTGGATGCAAGTCTGTGAGGAATGCATGTTCCCTGGCTGTGCAGGACTATAGAGGGACCCAAATCTCTAGCGGCTCCTAAGGGGGTAATGCTACATTAGTATGGTTGAAAAAGAGAAAACTGAAGAATCTATCCACAGAGAAAAAACATACACACACAAATACAACACCTTCATGTATACAATTCTATACCTGCAGTTGACCCAGGAAGGCAAAAAACCCCAATAAACAGGATTCAATTTGCTCCAGTGGGATAGAAAAAACCTTTCTGATTCCCCAATAGGCAATCAGATATTCCCTAGTTCAACCTACCTATAATATCAGTATCCAGTTATATCTTGGCACTATAGTCTTGTGTCCAGTTCCTATTGTCTTCTCCCCTCCCCGTCATCTCTGCTTTTGTCCCACATGCTGCATTCAACATGGCCTACCTATAGCCTGTGTCCATGAGGGAACTAATAATTGTGACACTATCCTTAGAGGACTCTATGATTTTAGAACAAAGAGAAAGAGAGCTCTACTTCTCCACCAATACAGTTCATGGATTATCGGTTCAACAGCTGGGGTCTTGTCCAAACAAGGCTGCAAAGCTGAAACGCATTAGTGTCTTGTAACTATTAGATGCTGCTGATTTTTTTAACCACTAAATTTGAAGAAGATTGTAAGCGGACCACAAAATTTTTTTGTTGCTTTGACTATATGATATTATCACAATGGCAATGTTTGCTGGGTATCATTAGTACTTGAGTCTGTTGCCCAGAGTTTCTCTTTACTACATCAACAATCAACTAAACAGTTACAGAAACAAGAGTATAAAAGTAACATCATGTGTTATGCTATAGACACCGTCACCAAAGGCCCCGAATCACTCCAAGGAATAGGATAACACAAAAGCTTTTGAAAATGAGGAAAGACCCCGGGACAGATAATGTTGCAGCTTGAAGTTTGAAATTTATCTTGCTGTAAATGCTCAGTGGAATTTGTGTCTGCTGGCCAAATAGAGGTGTTAAGCTTTCAACTCCCCATTGCAGTATCTGATAAACAAAAGTATCAGATGTTTGCCAACAATCAGGGAGACTTTTGTTTTTTCATAGTCCTGACAAAAGTTCCTGTTAGACATTATGTATTCCATGAAATAGAATAAAAAATAATAGAGCCTGTCTGCTTTATTATCAAACCTCCAATTGTGTTGTCATTTTGAATGGCAAGCCAAACACACTCAAAGGTTTGTGCTTTGCTGAACACCACAGAGCACAGAGGCACTATCTGTGTGTTGTGCTTTGTTAGAAAAAATGGTCCTTGTCCACTTTCAGGTGCATTATGCTACATTGGCAGCCTATGCAAAACGAATGGACCACCTTAGGAAAAATCATGATTACACACAGCATACCACATTAACATGCACGTAGTTAACTGCAGTGGTGAGAAAGGGCTCTTAAAAGGGTTACAACCACTTTAGTATTAACAAAAAAAAAGAAAAAAAATAGTGATCTTCAAATAGAAAACTATATTTATTTCAATCTAGATTTGGTTGTGAAGGAGTTGTACAGTTTTTTAGGGGAAACTATAATGTTTTGGGTCACTTGTAGCTAAAGTTAAAAAAAAAAATGTAATTTTTGTTTACTATTTCTGTAAATTATTCATTATATAAAAATGTAATAATGGGTATACACATGACACTGGTGTCAGATGCATTGTGAGTATTCTTAATAGAAAGCACAGCATGGATACCTACAGAGCAGAAAGTTAAAGAAGAGGAATCACTCTTCTGACTCAGTTAACTGTGTGTTAATTGTAAGCTTTAGCTGTCCAGCTCTTTACTTCTTGCTAACCGCATAACGGATATTTTTGATGGCAAGAAAAGTGGGCTTTAACATCGAGGCACTGCACATATGTGTTCATGGTGGCCTAAAGAGAGCACGCTAACTGCATGCTGCTAGCACACTGTTCAAGCTGTCACTGACAGCTCTCAGTCATGGCTTCTGATTGGGAACCAGCGGAATGGGCTCATGAATATGTGACCACTGTAAGAGCCCATTACAATGGCCACAAGATAGAGAAGCCTCTTCCCCTCCCAGGCATTAAAGACTGCTTAAAGGGCTACCAGGAGGCATGAAGGTATTTTTTTTAAACATGTAAAAGGTGCATCTATACATTTAGCCTCACTAGACTGTTTCAGTTATATGACGGCTTTGCTTTAAAACTGGATTTGCCCAAACTGCACTTTTTGCTCTGCTCCACCTTATTACAAATTATGCCATTCTGATTAGCAGAGTCAGCTTAGTGATATCTACTAAGTCTCTGATATCTAGAGTATATGTATTCATACTTTCAGGCTACTTATTGTATGATGATCAGTGAACAGCCCACTTATGATCTTCAGAGATAGGTTCAATGTCTGAAGAGCAAAGGTCCTCTATTTTGGAGGAAATGGCTAGTGTGTTGCAAAACACCTCCAGATACTTGCCCAACTGGTTTACTCTCCAGTGCTGAATGTCCTAAATGTCGCCCTGATACTGATGATTTTATTCATATGGTATATCGTTGCCCCAACAATATTGGGAAGAGGTTGTGCAGGAGATATCGAGTTTGTTTCTCACCAATTTTCACAATTTTCATTTTGGTTTGTTTTGCATGTATTTGTTCATTGAAGAATTTCTTTTCGTCATATTCATTATGTTGAAGTGATTTATTTTTGGGATTAATTTTGTTATATTTTGTTATATTCAGCATTTGTTTTGTATATTTGTTGGTCCAGGTAGATTCTTAAAATGTAGCATTTTTTTTCAGAAGATCGCTATATATTTTGGATGGATAAGATATTCATAGATCAAAACTATTTGGAAGGATTCATTATTTTTGGACACAATGGAATAAATAATGCGGAATTCAGTAGCCCCACATTCAAACCTAATAATTGCGTTAGACTATGGAACTGAACTGACTGACTGTGACCATTACAAATGAAATTTAAATCACAAATTTACTACACTGCTCAAAAAAATTAAAGGAACGCTTTTTAATCAGAGTATAGCATCAAATTAAACTCCTGGGATATTGATCTGGTCAGTTAAGTAGCAGAGAGGGTTGTTAATCAGATTAATCTGCTTTGGTGTTAATGAAATTAACAAGTGCACTAGATGGGCAACTAGATGGGCAACAATGAGATGATCCCCAAAACAGGAATGGTTTTATAGGTGGAGGCCACTGACATTTTTTTCCCTACTCATCTTTTCTGACTGTTTTTCACTAGTTTTGCATTTGGCTAGGGTCAGTGTCGCTACTTGTAGCATGAGGTGATACCTGGACTCTATAGAGGTTGCACAGGCAGTCCAAGTCCTCCAGGATGACACATCAATAT